TGTTTGCTAAAGGTGTCACATCTCTGAAACTGTTCTCTGTCCCTAAAAAAAAATTATTCGGCTCTGAAACCCTGTGGTTTCACGGCGCGTAGATGGTATTCGTATCTATGTGCTTTCGATCATGTAATATGCTCAACACTCCGTCAGGAATAATTAGCCCTTCTAGACTCTCAAATCAGGCTCAGAGGAAAATTTTCCTACAAGTAAAAGTAGGAATATTGCAATGAATATTGCAAAAAGTAGGAGTATTGCAATGAAGTCAAATGGACAATATGCTAATTGTGTGCAGGCCCATTTTAATCCGGTTTTTATATTATTTGTTATTCATGACTAACCCCCAATTGTCAAACAACTGAATTTGAATGAATTCCTTCACAACGCAATAGTAACGCATGCTTCAGAAGAGATGGGAAACTGCTACTGCGCAACCATGCCTTTAGGTTTTGCTTAATCACAGCCTCTGTTATCTTTGGTTGCCATTTTTCAAGACTTAGTGACATCTTGTGGAACAGTCTCTTTGCATCCTGGTTTCCTTTTTTTTTGCGCGTACGGGTAATTTTCAATCTCTCATTTTTCTTGTCACAAGAAGGGGACATGTGTTTGTCTCAGCCCGTTGCAGCGTGTGCAGTTACACTAAGTTAGTCAGTTCTGGAGCTGGTCACGATGCCGAAAATTTGCGTAGCTCTTATCATGGCCCACCCCTACTGTGTCTGTATCACTTGCTCCCCCCCTTCTTCTTTCCTCCCTGGGTGTTTTTTTGTGGGAAAGAAAAATCTCCCTACTATTGGCGCCCTGCCGGTTTCACAGACTTCTGCAAAAAGGGGTGGCAAATGGCCAAAATTCTGCCACCGTGCAGACTCTTTCGCACTTTTCTCTCTCTTTCTCTCTGCTCCTGTCATTCATGGCTTATCCTTGGAGACTCTTCACTGAAGGGATTTCTCCAAAAATGTCTCCCACTCCAAAGGAAACTTATCTGTCTTCTCTCCCTCCTTTGCCTTCTGCAAGAGGGGAGCAAGGATTATTGCTGAAATAACCGCTTTTTGGCACCAGGCTCGCTCCTACCTGACCTCGTTTTTGGACTTGTGTTTTCTTTGTAATTCCGAAGGTGTGCCGGAAGGGCTAGAGTCTTGTTCGAAATTTGGTCGAACAAGGAAGTCCTTTTCAGTCTCAAGGGAAATGGAAAAAAATAATTGGGTTGCAAATACTGTATAGTCGGTTGATTGACGTCGGCTGTTCATCAAGGCGGGGCTCTAGAAAGACTTGCGTGGGTTTCGCTCAAGGTGATTCAATAAAAAAAAATGACTGGGAGCATTTTTATCCAATTTTCTTAGCGTTTAATGTCCTTGTGCAATATGTACTATGTTGGCCGGTGTCGAGTCATTGGGGCAAGTTAAATAGATCTTCAGTATGGCGAAAGGGAGTTTCCAGTGGAGAAATCGAGTGATAATGTGCCAGATGTGCATAAAAAATCTGTGACAGCAGTTTGAAGAATATACATATGAGCACCAAGCTTCGGTGAACATAGGCATTTTACTTTGGATTATATTGAGTGGAGTAGATGGAGACGTATGCTTTCATCGCATGTCCAGACAATCTTTCGAATGACCCTCTTTTTAGAGAGAGATACACCCCAGGAGTGGGTTCCGTCTGCCAATTTTAGCCTCAGGAGACTTCCAATCACATCGCATGTGCCATATAAAAAAAATAATTGAATGTATGGATATAATTAATATTTTAAAGAAAATATATTAATTTATTCTGTACCTGGCCTTCTGCTTAAAGCATTTCGCATGGCCATCGTGGGTATTTCTTTATTTAAATCTTGGAAAATTCTCCCAGCAGTTTACTCTACAAAATTTCCCTTTTCTTTCAACTTCGAAGTTCATTCTCATAGAGTCTTCCGTCTTGATTCGTATGCTCCTCTGTCTGAGCTTTTTACTCCTCCCAAATCTGTGGTTTGCCATTTTTACATTTCCTATTCACTCGCTTGTTACACAATAATGGGCTGTCAACCGGGTGGAGCATAAGGAGCACTACATTTTCATAGCATTGGATTTGTGCTTTTACTATGCTTTATGCATACCGAACCTTTCTTACCTTTTCCTGTGACAAATGCTACCAGTTGGAAGTTAAATTAGGTCTGTTATGGCTCCTATGGAAGTATGCTGTGGCGTAGTGTTCATGCCTCGCCCTTTATATGTTTAACCCATCATTTCCTTTTGATTGTATTATCGGTATCCAATCATCTTTATCAGATAGAAAGATTTCCTCCTTATTCGTACATCTTGACTTCTTAACTTTCCCTGATTCATGTGAACTGCTTTTGCTTAGATTTTATCGTCTGAGAGGCTTCTTGTCATTTCCTTTACAGTTAATTTACATTTATTTTTCGAATATGAAGTAAATACTTGTGGGAATTGAAAGACACTACTTCCTGACAGGCAGGGAAAGGTCCTTCGAGGAAGGAAACTTTGGTTAAGTCGGGCCATGTGCCAGCCTTGGCCTGTTCAAGTGAAAGAAAGAGTGGGCAGAGAAGAGCCTTTCTTTGTGTCTGAGGGGGGACATGAGGTGGGGAGGGCGTAATGAGGGCCAAAGGCTGAAGAGTGGGGGCGAGGGGGAATGAATGGGGACTAAGGGCGTCACCTGATATTCACCTCGCCCCCACACTCGTTCGGTATCTCCGTATCACTACCTTCTCTGGCCAAGGTTTTCCTTTTCTTTTTTTCTTCCTACTTTCACAAACAACCGTATTCATTAAACCTTGAGGATAGGGAAGCACAACACGTGTTCATAAAATTGCGCTTTTTCGTGAACTCGCGGGAAGATTCCCAATTTCAAAGGTTCCATCTGATGCACGGGGCAGAAAAAATTTGAGACTTTTGTTCATTAGCAAATATCTAAGAAAGCAATTGAATCTTGATTGTGACGGCAAAAAAAATTAGCTACATATTATTTGTAAGTTCATTAATGTTTGCAAAATCAGATCCTTCTCAATTGTGTACCCTGTATGAAGGCGCATTGCCTCAATTCCCCTGCTTAAAAGTGTCTTCTCAGCTAGGGAGTCCGCTTTTCAAAAGTGAGGAAGGCACCTACCACGACTCCAATATGTAGCCCTGGTCAAGCGTTCAAGAAGTAACCAATGAAGGTAATATTTAAAAGCAGTTTACAATCAACGAAATCAATATTACACCACCCTACATTTCCTCCTGATGGTATTACTTCATTTGTTGGAGTGGAGGAACGTGTGGCCTGAATGTCATTTTTTTATTACATTCAAAATCGAAAAAGTCTACCCAAAAACGTCCGACCAGGTGTGCCTTGAGTGTTTTAAAGAAAGAGAAAGGAAAGGGACTTCACGGTTATATCCTCTTGACGCATTGTATCGAGGTCAGAGAGAGAGAGAGAGAGATGCAGAATCTGATACCCGCCCTATCGCATCTTGTATCTTCTTGCCTAAATGTTTTTTTTTCTTCTCTTTTTTCTGGATCGCCATGGAGATGGACTCGTCCTGTGACGTAAGGCTCCGGTGTCATTAGACTGGTTCCCTTCTATCATCCTGTCATTAAGGCCATAAAGCACAAAAAATAGGTTTTTATTCCCAGAGCCAGAGGTATGGGAGTTGAAAGAAGAGTTTGCCCCCGTCCCGTCCCCTTTAACTTATTGAGTGGAGATGAACAAAGAAGCATGAGATTTGGGTTTCGTTAGTGTAGAGCCAGGTGTATTATGCGATGACGTCGAAAGTTCAATGGAAAGTTAAATTAAGATAGAAGAAAGGAACTTCCGCATGATCTGATGCATAGGTGCGTTTCACTCAAAATGAATAACAATATAATTTAGAGAAATGGATTCCTTGATGGGATTGTTGGTGTTCGATCATACTGAACTGTCTAGGGGTTCGATAAATTATCTTAGGTCTAAGAACGTGACGAACGACATCTTTGGTCATTCGGAAAGGGGCGTGGCAGTCTCGCCCTCTCCAGGCATCGAGGCAATCAAGAACCGTCATTTTTCACCTTCACCTCGGACATCAATCCCTTCCATAACAAAGTCTGACATCTCTTGCGTTCTCTCCTCACCCCTAGCGCTAACATGAGCACGCCCACGCCCCCCCCTTGACATTTGAGGTCGGCAAGGGCGTTCTCTAGTTTATTTACAGCGTTTTTTTTTGTTTCCTGAGGAATAACTATCTGGAGCGGCATGAGGGGGGGAGGGAGAACAATGCATGCGGCCGTGATGGATGAGGAATGAATTATTCTTCCCATTTCCTTCTGCGTCTCGTTCCGGGGAGAAAGAGAACGGACTGGACAGTAGAGGCCTCCGCGGCATTATATATTCAAGGAAAGGAGGGGAGGTCCCGCGACTTGCGGTCTCCATACTCCATTGACCTCCAGACGAGTCGGAAGGTTGAGTGCGGGAAGTGAAAGTCGGGCGCAGTGTTCGAACCTCTGTGCTCACCTCTACCTCTTAACTTGACTCCATTCCTCCCCCCACGTAAACACATGCGATTTCAATAGTTGATATCTCCCCTTCTATCCAGCGTAGGGACTCCAAATTTGCGTTGAGGCATTTCGGAGGTCGAAATTTTCATGTTGACGTACAGTTTCCCGGGATTAATTGATGAGGAGCTGCGGGAGAGCGAGTGCAAGAGACGGATTGTGTAGCTACATACGTGCGCAGGCGCTGTATTGTGCGCACCTCCCTCTCACTCTTAGTGCTTCCACGTGGTTCGCGTGAATGCAAAATGGATTCGTTCCAGCGAAAGGTCGGATGATGAGAAGAAAAAGTAAAGGTGCAGAGAAAACGCCTTGAATAAAACAGGCGAAAAAGAAGGGAAATAGATGCATGTCTGTGTTGCTTCCCGTGGAAGCATTGCGACGGAGAATTGAATCAACCGTTGCTATTCTAATTGTGTTTCTCACGCCCACGCGGCGAGTTTTGGGAAAAGAATGCACTGGGACACGCCTGTAATAATTTTTTGCGTGTTTCGGATTGCCCTCCAGGCTGATGGAGAGGACGAGCTGAAGAAGAGGCAGCTGATGGAATTGGCCATCATCAATGGTACTTACAGGGATTCTTCTTCGAAGAACGCCAATGGTGAGTTGGGTGGAATGACGTTCATGGGATCTCAGTACGCCATGCAGTGTAAGTCAGGTAAATACCCACCAATTCTAATCCAGTTCCTCCAGTTCTAATTCTATTCCTTTCACTCATATTCTCATTCTTTCCATATTGTTTTTTCATGATTAGTGCTTTTTCAGTCTCTTTCAGTAGTTCATTTTTAAAAAGGGTTATTTTAAATATGAGCATGGTTTTTGCATAACCTTACGCAAAATGAAATGAATATGATGCTGGGCGAACGTAAAATCTGATTTTTTTGTTTGGACTTACCAGGTGCTATTCATAGAAAGTCCCCCTCAGGAGACTTCCAATCACATCGCATGTGCCATATAAAAAAAATAATTGAATGNTTACAAAAACCCCCCCCCCCCCCCCCCCCCCCCCCCCATTCCCCGTCCCTCTACAGCAGTGGTGCACAACCTTTTACACGTAGAGGGCCAACATTAGATTTCGGCTCATTTTTTAGGGGTCCGAGGGCCGCAGACCCTCGAACATGAGCCGAAATAGGCCGCATATAAATATGGATCTTCAGAGACCGGAGGCATCCAAGGAGCCGCAAAAAAGGTCTATGCGGGCCGCGGGTTGTGCATCACTGCTCTACAGCCTTAACTAGAAGAGCAAGGAAAATAAAACGCCTTGAGAAAGAGCATTCATATTTGAATCGAATCGTCAACTTGTAATCGTGTGTCTCGTCTGCACCTTAGACGAGCTTTGTAAGATGGCGAGACTCTTTAGAGAGTACCGTGTCGTCCTCCATGCCCTTCAACAATGGTGATGTTGTTTTTCACTGTTTTTCACGTGAGTCAGACAATTTCTCTCTTGACTTAGACACTTGTGCATGGGATATTTCATGTGCTCGGGTATCTGAGTCAGGTGAAAAATTAACTCAAGTGGAAAACGCTGCACAAGGTTTCCCGGGAGGATCGATGTTGCTCGTCCTCTGTGTGCTTGAGAGCCTCAGCTTGCTCTTTCAGAAAATCCCCAATCCGCATTAAAGTCGGAGGAATTTACTTTTATATTAAAAATAATTTTAGTAATTTTAAGCCATTCCACATTTCCAAAAGAATCCTTTTTTTTTGTTCTTAGCTTATGAACAGATAATGAATTCAGCTTCGCCATCACGAGCATCTGGAAACGTATTGAATGCATGCGATTAATAAATTCAATTTCTTAACTATTATTTTACGTCTGAAACGACAAAATGGCGTTGGTTCAAATGAAATTTGAATGTGGATTCCAAAAATAGCATTGTTTTCCAAATTTGTTGTTCAGGCTGGGGGGGGAGGGGGGGGGACTGACTATGTGCAACACCCGGTACTCAACAGCTGGTATTGTACCTGAATATATGTACCCAAGCCACAAAATGTGCATTACGTCATTAATTTGTTTTCAATATATATTTTATGTTGTTCCTTTCAACACCCACCACATGCTTATAAATTATTATTGCATCCCAGAAAATTAGAGTATTTTCATTCTAATTGCATTATATAATAGTAGGAAGTCGATTCGGTGCTATGCAACACATTTGCATCAAGCATCTGTTTAAGGTATTAGAAAGGGAGCCCTGAGCATTGCGACTGATGGCATTACAGATAGATCCAGAAATGAATAAATGAACCAATAATTCTGACACTTACATAGACATCCTGTCTTAAGGACTGACCATGAGGTTGTCCAGAGACTGAATGCTAATGAGAGTCTCTATGTGCAAATTTGCAGGTTTTCACATTACACTTTTGAGTCTTCATTTGAATTAGAGACATACTATTTAAAAGAAATTTGCTGGTGCTCTGATGCTCAGGTATCCAATTCTCCTATACTGGTACTGATTCAAGTGTCAGCATGATTACCTTGTATAAGTGTATGTCAGCGATTCTCAACCCTTTCATAGCAATGACAATTTTTTTCATGGCAGAGAGATATCAGTACCCCTTCACACCCATGGACTCTCCAAGCATGACACATAATTTTTCAAAATGAGGAAAATCAGGACCTCTGAATTCATTCATGAAAGGTTTATTTTGAACTGTAACTTAGAGAATGATTTCAAGGAGATATTAATTAACTCCAACTCTTTTTGTTTATTTCACTCCAATGTGATACCCTCTGCCTGCCTCTGGTAGCAAGGAAAATCCAAGATATGGCTCATATTGTGTACCCCTGATGCACAATATTATTAATAGAGCAGACTGAAATCAGAAGTGTGATAATTTGAAAGCATTCCTTCAGAAGTGGATTGCTACTCACTCTAGAAAGTTCTCCTTTATTTCACCAGTAAAGGAGCATTGTAGCCTCCTCACCTTCCTCTTTTGGTGGCAGGCCAAGAAAAAGCAGTTGACACCTACAGCTCCCTTGTGAGGCTCACAGCTTCCCTGGGTGCCATGGTACTCAGGTTGAGAACCGCTGGTATATGTTATTCAGCAAAGCAGTTCTGGACCGTTTGGCTATGGTCATAGTTGGTCAATCATCAAGTAGTGCATTATCATGATGAAATCTGCTCATATTCTATTCCATGTTTGAGCTATGAATGTTTGCTTCCCAGATGGGACAAGTAGGACTCACATTTTTTAATTTTGCCAATGCCTATGCCCACTAATTAACAACTTGGGGTATATAGAAAATTTAGCATTGAAGTAGTTTTTTTTTAGCTGTGTCATTGAAACTTGCCAATATCAGGGTCCCAAAATTTCCAATACTGATAGTGAGTCTCCAAAGAAGAGTTGAATGATTATGCCTGCAGCAAATGTTTCTAAAGTACACAATATATCAAAGCTCAAATTTGATATTTCCTCTGAAACACCTTATAGAATTGAATTTCACCAAAAACTCTTTGATATTAATGTAATGTTTTTTCATTTCAATCCTGTTATACAGGCATGCCAAGTACAACTGATACTGACATTTTCTTAAATTTGAATATCTGTTGAAATCCAATAGGCCTACAATTGATATCATTATACCACTTGTTTTTGCTATGCTATAAGAATTGTGTTCTTTGAAAATTTTCACCATTTGACAGTGATGGATTGTTATACAAATCTTGATACTATTTGATGAGCATAATATACCATTACCTGACTGCCATGACAGATGGTGCTCCTCTCATGTGTGCAGCCCTGGATCTTCCTCGGCTGATGGCACCACTGACGGGTCTGGGTGCAAGTCCCCTTCGGCAGGCAGTGAGCACCCCATTGGGTGCCCCATTGATCCTCTCCTCAAGACTTCCAGTCCCAACATCTGCTGCAGCCCTGCTCAATGGCACAGGGGCAGGGAACCCAGGCCCACCCCCACTGATCACAGCAGCAGGGCATGGAGACACCTCTGGCCTCCTTTATGCCCCATATACGGATTATGCCGGCTATGCTGCCCTGGCTGCCTCTCCGCTCCTCGCCGAATACGCTGCAGCTGCTGCTGCCGACCACGCTGGTGGGTTGTTTGCGCGATAGGTGTGCATCAGGTGGACACTGATGGTTTTCTTTCCCCCCCCCCCCCCCCCCTCCTCCCCACATCCAAAAAGAAAAAAAATGTCAAGAAGGGCATAAGAAGTATACGCAACATCTCCGGCAGATGGTACATATACATGGAGGCCAGTCATGTGAGAGACTGTAGATATTCTTCATCCACCCCTTAAAGGGAAAAAAATAGTGTTGAAGGGAACTTGGTCCATGGAGACCCAGTCCAGCAGAATATTGAGATAAGTCTGTGAAGAACGTGCCATTCCGTGAAACCCCGCATTAGTGTGATGTGCTTGTCCACACCCTTCACTGTGTGTGTGGCAAGGCAGCCCATCCTGGTAAAAACATGTTTTTTTTTGAGGCAGCTATATAATTGGTTCTGTGCATTCTCTCAGATGCTAGTCGTTGCCCACTGCGCACGCGCAACTCTTTCTTTGCCCACACAGCCTCAGATTTTATTATATAATAACTCAAGAACATTTTTCTGTGCACTTTTTCCCTTCAACTGAAGTGCAAGTCACCAAAGACTGTCCAGCTCATAATCCATCACTCACACACAACATTGGTGCTAATGTTGTCTCACTCATTAATTTTTCCAAGGTTTTGATTTTTTTAATGGTGTGGGTGAGAGGGACAGGTTCCCATCTTGAGGACTTCAAGGTGAGAATCCTGGAAGCCTACTTCATCCACCCAAAAGCTGAATCCCAATGGTGCTATTTTTTTTTTTACATCGATAAAGAATTTCTTTTCCTCTTGGAACATTTTCCTTACCCAGTGTTCTCCCCATAATTTGTAAATACACCTTTGCATGCTTTTTTCAGCTTTTAATATCCTGGGAAAACAATCATTGCCTCTCACAAAACTCTTGACAGAAATTAAAGGATTACTAATTCTTGAAAAAAAAAAAAACAGAACAAGGAAGGCATTTTCCTTGACGGCATTCCTCAACAAGTCTTTCTTTGAGTCCAATTCGAATATGCAAAGGGAAACTTTTCAGTCAGAGGCGTTACCAATTGTTGCTCTGATTATTACAAATCAAGGAGTATATGAGAAGATTGGAAAAAAATTTTTGCATTGATGTATGAATAGATCCTACCTTGAGGCTGTGTGTGCATCCCATGCATTTTTCATTGTCTTCTTCCTCATTGGGGAAATTTCATGAATATTGTCCCACTTTGTTTGAAGAGATGTGTCTGTCCTCTTTCATACATTTAGGTGCCTTAAAGAGACACCAGCTGGGCCAAGCGAGAGAGCACCCTTATAAACGGGCTGGCTCTCTCTCATAAACAAAGAGAGAGAGAAAAAAAAGAAAATTACAAAAAAATGAAAACAAGGTTAGTGCTTTGCTTCCATCATGTATGCAATTTTCCAGGTGTGAGAGTGAGAGTGTGTGCCTGTGTGTGTGGGAGAGCTTGACTCTGTTGTACATTTTTTCAGAAGAAATTTTATTTCAGAGCTGGTTTTTATTTATTTAAAAGAAGTGATTTTTATTGTTTTTGATCTTTCTTCCCTCCTTTCATCCTCTCTTTATTCACATTTACTCCTCTGTCTCTCCCCTTGCAAGTGAAAATTCTGGTGCACAAAAGTGACAGCAAACCTCATTTAGCAGAAACCATGTAGCTGTTCTAAGCACTTTCTCTCCTGCACACATGCTCATTTTTGGTACTTTGATCTCGTTGCTGCGAGAATTAGCAAACCCTTTTTTTTTTATATTCTGATCTCAACCTTGTCTTATCTTTGAATACATTCTTTCCTTTTTTTCTTTCCTCCAAAAAAAGTACTTTGAAAGAATGCTAAACTTTGGAAGAAGCTGCGTGCTAGACAATCATTGGCATCGTACGTATCTTCCCACATATTGAGGCAGAGCGTAAACGGTTTCCTTGTCATCTTTTATGTTCGTAAATTTTTTTCTCTGTATTCTAGTCATACGGATGTGAGAATTTTATTGCCTCTCAAGGACCGTCTAGCAATTGTGATTTGGAGAGCAGAGACATTCTGCAAGCCATTCGGGTTGTATTAGATGCCTTTTGTTCATTTGTTTCTCCCCACCCCTTTCTGCCTTATTCCCCTTTGTCCAATCCCAGGAGGGATCCACACTTCCAAGAGCATTTATTTCTAAAGGGCATTAGCAGCTTGCCTGAAGGACATCATGGGACTTTTACTGCAAACAGTCATGAGTTTAGTGGATCTGCTTTGGGTGTTCTGCAGAACTAGACATTTTTGATTCTGGAGAGTCCTGATGAGGTCACCTTGCTACTGCCCTTGGTTAAAAGATTTGCTTTTGTTGGTCTTAAGAACTGGAATCTGAGGCCACTTCTCATATGAGCTGATGTTCAATGGACAATGGTCCTGAAGACTTGCAGTTTTGTAGTGTTGGACCTGCGAACTTGTTCTCTGACCACATATCCTTAGGACTCGTCTTAAGTGGTCAAATGTCACATGAACCCATAGTTCTGTGTACAACCTGAGTGATGCCAGTAGTGTAAATTTGCAGTTTAGGGTTAAAGGTTATTAGGATATTGCATTATCAGCTGTGTGGAACACCAGTGGTTCTGCAGCAACAAAGTCATATACTGATTTAGCTGGTGGTCATAATGTTTCATATTCCATTTCTCTCCACTCTCTCCTGAAGTGATATATATTTGGGTTTGATGTTCAAGAAGTGTGGGTCCCTCTACTTCCCTGCTAAAGAATGTGTTCAACATGGAAGGCTAAAGCGATGGAAGGATTTTGATGGATGACTCCAATGATGTTGGATTGATCAAGTGCCATGCTTTTTTTTTCTTCTTTTGTAAATATTCATACATGTTATTTTTTATATTTTTTTTCCCCACCCCCCATGTTTTCATGATCCTTTCATGTGAGATTGCTTTCTTTTTTTTTTTGCCAGACCTCATTGTAAATATTCAGAGAAAGTTTTAAGAAAGGCCAATAAAAAAAAGATACAGGCAATATCAATTGACATGATGTTTCCTTCCTAAGAGTGAAATAGGACCAGTACTTGGGACATAAGTGATTAGAGCTTACCAAGGCCTCTGCATTAAATGAACTAACCTTTGTCCAGCAGCAGGTAGAACTAACCCCAATAAATAATGCCTTGTCAAACTTATGTCGACTGACTTATTTCATGCCTCAATATTCTATGTTGAGAGATGAAACTGTAAAATATGTCTCAGTGCCTTTTTAAAATAATTCTTTCATTATGTTGAATTTGATGCAAAGAGGGTCAGTCAGACTGGAGTTTGGACAGGTTTTTTTTTTTTTGCTAATTCATGATTTGTGACTGTGGTGGGGAACATAAACTAACCCATGTATTTTTTTTCTCTTTCTCCCTCCCTCTGTCCCGTTTCCTCTGATAACTATCCCTTAGGCTGAGCCATCCGATCACATTCACAGTCTCTAACCGAAAATGCTGCTCTCGACCTGCAAGCGGTGGCAACCACCCCTAACTGCACGCCCATGGACGCCAACTAACCTCCGAAAACACAGTCACACTGTCCCCTGCAGAGACTTTGGTATGTGGAACTCCACCTCCCTGTTCAGCCATTCTTCTCCTAAACAGAAAAAAATTTGCTTTCAGGCATTTGTTTGCCACTCACCTCTGTAGCCACCTATGTAGGTCTCTGTGTGCCATAATGAGTTTCTGGAAACCACTAACAGATGAGTAGAATCAAGGCCCATTTCTCTTGGAACGACTTTCCACTTTAGAGCTGTGCAGCTCATGTATTAGGTGCAACTTCTGGAAAGCAGCTGTTTTAGAGCAGATTTTTCTGATGCAAGGTTATCCTAGAACAGAACTTGTGCAGCTGGTAATACTTATTGTGTTGACCCTCTTTCACCCTGTGGTTCAGGCTCCAAAGTGGAAACATCTTCCAGATCCCATATTCATTTAAGTTCTGGCAACAGTTGCATTGCTTCTGGCACATCCTCAACTGTTGGCAACAAAAAAACACCTCACACATGCATACACAAGGGACTTCAGGTGTGCCTGATCCTGCATCAGATTTATACAGTCCACACTCAAAAGCAAAACTTTCTCTTTTGACATTCCACTGCATCCAAAGGGATAAGTCTGTTGATTTGGTTCATTATTACGTCCTGCTTCATTCCTTTGTCATCAGTCCTGAAAATTTGGTTCCAGTTCCTGCTATGCTGGAATGTTTTGCAAATAAGCAGCTACACTTGATGGAGTGAGCATTTATTTTAAGCTGTTGAAGATTGCAGTTCTCTAAATTGACATTGAATGCCATTTGATTGTCCTTTGCACATGTGTGCCATCATTGTGCAAATTTGTTGAAGTTTGAAGGTCAGTTGGCCCCCATGAGGTTCACTTAACAAAGAGTCATTGAACCAGTCACGGATCGATTACCTTTGTCCTGTGCCATAAAGGATTCAATCATTACTTAAACAGAGATTTTCATAGATTTTTTTATGAACTGAGTATTGCTGTTTTTGAGTGTATATTGGGACTCACATGTCATGTCTGGAGGTAACCAGCTGGGAAAGAAAGAAAACCCATGGTGGCATATCTATGTGCATTTCCCAGGCAGCTGTGCAAAGCAAGAATTCACAAATGGACACCCAAGAATCTCAACTGAGAATCTGATCAAGCCATGTTGATGAATTTCCATTGATTTAAAAAAAATGTTGTCTCTCCTTGTGAACTCCACCACCAGACATTGCGGTGTTCACCTGGTGTTTTTGTTTGCTTCATCCATAATACCACATTGTCTTCCCAGGTGATAATCCAAGCATAATGGTTTTTTTTTTTCAGTATGAATGGATCTTAAGTGCCAAAAAAAAAAATGATTCTCTGGTATCAAACTGCCTAAGGACATGTCTTGTATCCTGGAGGAAATAGCTTTTAAAATATCCTGTAAGTGCTCTTTGGCAGACAGTACACAAGTGCATAAAAGAAAATTTTAGAGACAGTGACAATCCAGAGTGCCTTTCATATTTATGAATGCTTGAGCAATATAATATCTACTTTGATCAAGTACTTAAAAGTGTTTGTGTGGTGCTAGACCCAAGGCCTTCCAGCAATCTCACAACCTGGAGCAATATATCTTTGTACATGATCTGATGGCAAGAAGGAAGGAGAAAAAATGTTCTATCATTTGTTGAGAGAATGGGTTGTCTTCGTTCTCACCTTTGCGTGTGTTCTATTTGTGTGTTTTGAAGGTGTTTTTACCCCCGATGGAACAAAGTGCAGTATCTTGATCTGAGAAGGAATAAAGATTTACTCTTTTGTCCCTTTTAGAGCATTAATGTCTGTGTGCCTACAGCACATAAAATAGGGAATGAAGTCTTTCTGCAATCTGTTTTCAAAACAGAGGATGTGATTCCATCCCACTTGAGACAATAGGAGATATGAAGGCACCCATGACACAGGTAAGCAGTCAGCCAATACCACTTCACCTCCTGCATGTTCTCACCTTAACAGACACTATGGCCTTACCATTTAACATGTTAAAATGCTCTTATTTGCTTTTGGTCTGTCTCGGATGTCGGTTCCAAATTTCACTCCACTTTGGTTTTATAAGAGGTTTTTAACAGTACCTACCAAAAAATTCACTCTCTCAATGATGGAGACTTCCCAATTGAAACATTTGAACAAAACTCAGTTTCCCTATAGATTTCATCACAAATGTCCATAATTTCCTGGATATTTTGGAAAACCCAGAAGGGTGCAACCAATCATACTGTTTTAGCTTACATGCAACATGGGTAGAAAAATTCAAGTATTGTATATATGGCAAAAGGCCTTAAAAGACAGTCATAAGGAGTAGAAGGAAAAACTGTATGATTTGTGAAAACAAAATAAGACATGGAAACTTTCACCACCATATGCCGTTCCTCCAAATTACTTGGTCTACATAGAGAGGCTTGATGTAGAAAAAACTTGAATGGAGAAGGCTTTGATAAAGTGTCAACCCTGACCAGTCAGGTCAATGGAGTGAAGGAGACTGCAGGCATCATCCAGTGGCACACCTCCAGCTGCTAATGTGTGGCTTGTATGACAGAGGGGAAATAATGGGGCAGGTACTTCCATATCTAAATTGCACCTCTCTATTATTTCCCCTAGAAAGTTCATTGTCCCCAACCTTTACATGGAAAACCATTGAGACCCTTACAAGAAACTCAAGATCACGACCTAGTTCCACACTAGACAACCATTGTTCTTTCCTTGTGTGTGGACTATGAAGCAACACTGATTCTCAGATGCATTACTTAGTATTTTCTGTCACATTTCCAATTACAACCTAAGTGATTGATGATGTCCCAATATCGTTTGATGTGTGGTTGGCAATATTGATCCTTTGAAAACCTATATCACCCTGTCCTAATTGCAATTCCTGCAAGAAATGCATTGAATTAAAGTTTTAGACCTCAATAGTACCACATGTTTGGTTCAAAATAAAATTTGGCAGCAATTCATATTTTATATGTGACAGACTACAAATACAAAGTTTCAATAACATGACTTTGTAAAATTATTGTGAATTGGGTGTGAGTTGATTTATATCCCTAAATAATAATTATAATTATTTTGGTAGGGCTGGTACATTTTGTTTAACCAGGAACCACAATTGCAGGTGTGGTTTAGGCAGACTTTATTTGCAACAAACAGAAACTGCATTGAGTTCTGTGTGACAAAAGGCCTGAACTCTAGCATGAGCTGATGTTTCCGCATCCCAGCAATGCTTGCCCAAACAATGCTGGAGGAACTATTGCTACAGTTTTTGCAGAAACACTACCACATCCTTATGATTCCACTGACCTGGCCAGCTGTGACTTTCAACTATTTTCCAAAATGAAGAGGAAGCTGCAAGGACACTGGTTCAACACTGAAATGAGGCTCAAAGTAGTAGTGACAATGAAGTTTAAATGCACATTGAAAAAGGCAGTGCAGAAAGAATGTGAATATCACTGGAGAATGGACTAATGGTACAGTTGGATTATAATGAAAAAGTGCAGGCTCACCAGGACCCAGACATGTAAGGTAATGCTGCAATAAATTCAATAAAGGAAATCTTGTGCATCTCCTCAATGACTCATGTTAGTTTTGAAGGTGGTATTTAGTTAAAGGTGGTGCATGGATGAAGGGAGTATTTGATTGGAAGAGGTGTTTAGTTAAGTGGCTGAAGGAAACTGCTGGAAGCCAGAGAAATTAGATTGGTTCATTGTCTATAATTGCTCACTTGCAGAGTATTCTTGTCTTATTCTTGATTGATGACAAAAAAAAGGAAGAGAGATGGCTTATGAGCTGAATTTTTTGCCCAGTTCTCAAAAGCTTAGCAGAACAGTTTAGACTCAGGGCACAATTGAATGTACCCAAGATGTAGCTAGCAATGGAGGAATACCAATTTTTGAATATCATGTAATAAAATCAGGGAATTCAAAGCATGAACTCTATGAACAGATCCAAATCTGGAAATTAAATTCCAAATCCCAAGACAGACTTAAACCTCTATTCTCTCTCTCATGCAAATGGTAAAATAACCATTCATTAAAGCATTTAGTGAAATTATGTTGAAGGAATGACAAAGAAACCCTAGATCTAACAAAATAAATACTCCAACTTTGACCATCATGAATAGAGGAAAGCTGAATCAATTCTGAATCCAAATCTCCAAAAGTGATCTGAATTACACTAAAGGAGTATTTCTAAAGATTATTTTTATTGTCTTTCAATTTATTAAGTACCCAGAATAAGATCATGTCCCTGTCCCCTACTTCTCCTTATTCTACTTTTTTGGAAGGTTCATTCATGAAGGTGCATCTGGCACATGAAAATACACCACAATATTAAAAAGATAAACAAAACCCATGATTAGCCCATATGCCTTCTCTTCTTGTTTACTAATTCATGCCTCATTTATGAAAAATGACTACATCCAAATGAGACGAAATCAGCATGAAAAGAACTGCAATATTTTATCACATGGAAGGCCACAAACAAAAACAAATTAAGATGCTTGCCCAAAACTTATTATTCAGTCAGAGGTGATCCAGGTAGAAATTAGGTTTTCTTGTCACCCTGCAACATTTCACTGATGTGACCAAGGTCCTTGAGGGAGACAGTGGCACTGCCACGTTGTGCTGGCTTGGGCTGGCTTGGATCTGGCTTCCACCCAATGAAGTGAAGCACCTGAAATGTGGCCGGCACTGACCCATCCTCATTCCCATACATCTCCTTGTAGATGGCAGCAGCAGCCATGAGGGATTCCCGGTGGAGGTGTGGCTTCCGTGTCCATGTTGCATTGTTCTCACCCATGCCTTTCAAGTCCCACATGACTTCAAACATAGATGGGTAATGGATGCGGAATTCATCCGAGTCCATAGTAATAAGGGAGAAACCGGTCCGGTTCAGCAGGCCACCGAGGTCTGCTGCTTCCACAAAGGGTGACACATGTGGGGCAAATCCACCCTCCCGTTCCAGTTCTGCCAGCTGCAGGGAACACCGCAGCTCAAACAGGGTGTCACCATAGAACATACAGCCAATGAAAGGGCAGTCTTGCTTCAGGCACCTGCAATCAAATAGACATCTTTTGTGAGATGGGACATCCCACCAAATGAGCTAATGACACATGTACACATTCATGAAAGTATAACTAACAAGCATTCCATCACTTCATACTGGAGACTTCAGTTTAATGCACTTTTTCACAAAGGATATACAGGAGATGACATTTTACATGCAATTCAAAGGAATGACTATAGGTGCACCAATACAGTGATACCAGCATCAGTATTTTCTGTACTTCAGATAAATTCAGGACATGAAGGAGCCCCTCTGCAGGACATCATCTTCAAAAAATTATTTGAGGAATGGAAAACTGTATTCCCCATGTATGCAGAATTAAAAATATATATCACTATAAGGTATATCTGCTATCAGTAATTTTTTATTACAATTAAAAAACCATCAGGTGTTTCTGCCCCACCTTGTACATGCATTTGGCCATTTTCCCTGACAACATGTATAGGGGTAAAGGAAATGCTGTACACATACAAATTTGATAATGTCACTTTGACAAAAGAGTGGAACTGGAGCCATTCTAGCTAAAAGTGGACATGGGCATGAAACTCATTTTCTATCTGATTTTGAAAGCTTTAACTCCACTGCTGCACCCCATGTACCACCACTGTGCTGTTTATGTTGCATGAGGCACAGCAGTAGAATGCAAAGGGTTAAGTCTCATTGAAAGCTGAAATTTGAGCCCAAACTCAGGCTCTAGGGAGGTTTATCAACAATAATCATATTGTTCTATAGAGAGAACCAAGGTCTTTCCTAGCACAAAAATTGATTCCTGGCCAATGCAGAGACAGGATGATGACTCAATGACTCAAAAATCAACTGACTGCAAGCACCCCTCAAAAGTCAATAAAAGGGAATGATGTGAAATATGCTTATATGTTGTATGGTTTTCTGGAATTTAGGAGGACTTGGCAACTCCCTAGTGAATCCAGATACTTCAATAAACCTGCTGGTTGAGTGAAATCATCTCAATGTTGCATGCATATTAAAACACCCTAGGGAGATTATAAATCTCCCTGACTCAAAAATTGTATTTCTCAAGGCTTTGATTGTCTCACTGCAGGCAATTATCTTGTGTGCAGACAGCTTGCTGAAGGGTGAAGAGTGTCACATTGTCTACTGCCTGCTTCTACTGAAGAAAGAGATGGTAGCATTGAAAAAGCGAGAAGTCACTGAAGGTCTGAGTGTGGGCCAAGAAAACTTAGATGTTTATGATATGAGACTCTGTTCGTATCATCAGGATGATGGGATGTAGACTCTACAACATCTCATCTTCCTGTTACCATGTACAATACAATGTAGAGTACTGAAATGAATAATAAGCCCCAGCCACTTTCATTCACATTCTCCTTTCCATTCTTGTCCTAAATCCGCCAACTCTTAGAAAGTTTACAGATTGAGGACTGCAACAAATTGACAACCACTCTGCCAGAATGTGTAGAACAAGCAAGCCATTGAGGTGTCTAATGGGGTCTCAGTGTCCTTGAACATTTCATGGAAAGAAAGAAGCTCCATCTTTAAGTTGCAGGGAACCAGGGCCACCTCCTCATATGCAAGTTCCAACTTTTCCTTGTTTTTTGACTGCTTTTTTTTTCTATGATGATTCAACAAAATTGACATTCATTCAACATTTTAACAAAATTGCATTTCCCCCAACTGTCTTGATGAATCTGTTACCCCCTTGGAATAAAAGAAAATGATGGAAGCAGAGGCAGCAAAACTGGGTGAAGTTGGGTCTCTTGTGGAAAGTGATACAGGGGAAGCATTTGGGATTACATCATAAACCTGCAGGTTAATTGATGTTCTGCATCAGACTAGGGAGATCCTGAAACTCCATGAATGCCATGTAACCCCACAACATATGTATAGCATATATATATATATAGCATAAGAAATGGTATTGGTTCCAGTGATTGGAATCTACAAGCAAAGAATAGAGGATGGTAACATTTATTACTAAACACATGAAATTTGTTACTCCTGTTTTTTTTTTTTTTGTAAGCTGCTTGAGAATGAGTTATTGCAAATCACTTTACTCTTTGAAGAGCATAAAAGTATATTATGAGCAGGGGCATATGGACCCATGGGGAAGTGCATGTAAATATATGTTTGTATTTCACTGTCCCGTAGTGCACTTGAAAAGGGAGATATGCTTTTGGAGCAGCAAATTCTGCCATCTATTGGCTTTAAAATGCATTATAAAATGCATTTTTCGCAATTAATTTGCTCCTGGAGACACATAAGAACTCCATATATTCACTCCACAAAGAATAGCTTTAGAGGATCTGATCGATCTGATGTATGATAGCAGATAAGAACTGTTACCACAATCTTAAATTTAACAAATTTTCTAATGCTCATTGCATGGAAGTCATGTGCAATTAATGCAACTTTTGCTTTCCTTGACTTTCCAGTTCCCTTCTAGTTTCTGAATGGTCAAATGACTGCTGCCTAATGTTTCATCTTGAGTTTACTTTTTTCCTCAGTCTTGTGTGCTTTCCTAGTGTGAGCAACAACTTTAACCTCTAGTTCACCACGGCATGAGAAACAACATAAATTCTCAAGTTTTTCTCCAGTTTTCACTTTCATTACTTTTTCAGGGTCATCATTGGAACAACAAATCCTGCTTCTCATTTCATTGAAAGCTATTACATCAGAAAGGTAGTTGAACAATACATATGATCAACACTTGCATTGGGACAATAGGAGTGGAAGGAACAAAACCAAGTCAGTTGGCCAAAAGGAGTAAAAAATTCTCAAACCGGTAGATTTCCTTGAAAGATGCAGGCAGATCATTGATCCAGTGGAGATTCAGAGAGCTGATGACCAAGTTGAGGGAATCATCATCAAATGACAACTGCTGCTCCTCGTCAATGACCACCTTTGACGCCTTCACACCTTCAGGAGCATCAGCAGCATCCAACGCCTCCTGGCAGGAGTCAGCCATCACAAGCTGTTCAACCACATCTGGAGTAACATGACGTGACACATGGCCCCGACCGCACCCCAGGTCAAGTGCAATAGGGAATCCCCGCTTGATGTCATAGATACGATCTGCCACGCGACAACCTATTTCATCCTTGATGTAGTCAAAGACACGGGCATCTTCACTAAGGGCACTGCGGCGGCGTTGGTGTTTCTTAGTCCAGCAGTCAAAGACATTGACAGCACCAAACCGCTGCAGTTGCACTGGGACCATAGAGAACTGACGTAGTATCTGCATTCCCACCATCCTGGATGACATCTTTAACTGGATATGAACATCAAAATATGATCATTCTTCAAGTAATGCAAAATAAGGAAGACACAGATACATGGCCAAATGTGAATCAAAAGATTGCCCTGCTCAGAAAACCTACATATGCAGGTACAGGGATATTTTTGAAAGAATGAGAACTTACATCTTCAAAATACAAATTCAAAACCAACAGATGCACAAGAGAAGTGAAAAAGAATGAATGGAATTCATGAATAAACCAAAGAATATGTTTTAAAAAAATCACACATCTGGATATACAGTATGCGGTGAAAAAATGGCTACACTCATGTCCAGATTTATAACTTCATCCAGAAGTGGAACTGGGCTGCAATAATTTTTTCTTAAGTAGAGGTTGGGTGATTATTTATAAATAGATCCAAGATTTTGGGATTTGTTTGCATTTAGTCGCAATGGATTCCAAAAGAGAGGCCATCGTCAATTTGTCTCACGCTGGGAAGACCCCCCACTGAGATTGCCAAGGCCCTGAACATCCACAGGGTTACTGTGTACAAGGTCCTCGACAAATTTAAGGCCACGGGCAGTGTCAAGAGGAAGCCTGGAACTGGAAGGCCACATTCAGCAAGGGCTCCGGTGATGATCAGAGCGATAAAAGGAAAAATCCAGCACAACCCCATCTGGTCCATGAGGCCAAGGACATGAACGTGAGCGAGAGGACAGTCAGGAGGATTGTCAAAGAGGATTTGGGAGCCAAGTCAAGGGCCAGGGGTAAGGCAACTCATAAATGAGACCTCCAAGGCTAAGAGAGTAGCCAGAAGCCGGAAGCTCCTCCAGATCTTCAAAAAGAGAAAACCAGTGGTTTTCTTCACAGATGAGAAGCTCTTTTGCATCGACCATGCCTCCAACAGTTGCCATGACCGCTACATCAGCAACCAGAGGCCTGAGGATGTCTCTGAGCACATCAGGTTCACCTTCAAGACCAAGCATCCAGCCTCTGTGATGGTCTTTGGGCTTGTGGCCTCAGATGGTAAGAAAATGCCTCCAGTCTTCATTAAACAGGGCCTCAAGGTTGATACTAAAGTGTACATCGACATCCTGGAAAAGTCTGTCAAACCTTGAATTAAGTCCAACTACCCTCCGGACACCAACTATGTCTTCCAGCAGGACGGGGCCCCTGCCCACACTGCGAAGAAGACCCAGAAGTGGCTGGAGGTCAACTTTGTGTCCTTCTGGGACAAGGATATGTGGCTCCCCAAATCTTAATCCCCTGGAATATAGCATGTGGGCGTTTGTAGAGGAGGCTGCCTGCAACAAACCCCACTCATCTGTGGCAGTCCTGAAGTCCTCCATCACGAAGGCCTGGTCTAACATGAAGGAGGACTACATCATCAAGATGTGCTCAGCCTTCAGAGGCCGTTTGGAGGCTGTGATCAGGGCTGATGGTGCCCATATTGAGTAAAATATATTGTCAGATGTTAAATCAACTATTTATAATTAAATACATTTTTTGTAAAATCTCTCTTTGTTATAGTTGTTGATGAGGTATATCCGGACATGAGTGTAGCCATTTTTTTGCCACATACTGTACATTGACCAGCAAAACTGGTCCAATATTTGTGCTTTAGGTGTTTTTAGGCTAATAACTTCATGGATATTCAATCAATCCAAATCATATTTGGAGGGAATATAGCCTTGCTACTTGGCTTCCATTAACTATTGACTTTGTTTTGAACAAGTAATTCATGGAGTAATGGGCTTTCAGGTGTGTGTCTCACTGGACTAGTTTTGCGACTTATGTTAAGGAGGTAGGTAGGTGGGAGGTAGATATGCGTTTATTCAGTATTTTTTTGCATTCACCTTTAGTTTTTAAAACTTCAGCGATACTTCAGCGGTCATGCTTTCGATGAAGTCAATTCACACTTCTGTCGGAATATCGTTCCACTCAGGATCTGCATGCTCCCACAGCTCAAACATACCGCTCGGCTCATTGTACTCCGCGAGTCTTTTCCTCAGATGAAGCCGCAAATGTTCGATGGAATTTAGGTCCGGGGACTGTGCGGGCCGCTCCAGAACTTCGATTCCGTTGTCTTCGAACCATTTGCGGGTAGTACGGGGGGTGTTCATCGTTTATCGTACATCAAAATTGAGGGCTTTATCTTGAATTCTGCCATCAGGCCAGCCGCTTTCTGGGCGCGACGCACGGTATAGACACTGACCTCCACTTCGGTGGTGTATTTCAGCTCTGATGCCAGCTGGATGGCAGTATCGACCTTTTCCGAAGTTAACATGCGGACCAGCTTTACGCTTGTTGGGCGTCGTGAGCTTGACTGGTCGTCCACTCTAGCTCTTCTGCGCCTGAGGTTTGGTCAACACGCACTCTCCTTACTGTAGTATGACTTGAGTCCAGTTGTGATTTTTTTTATGCGACGAAAAGGCCGTTGTCAAGCAGAGAAACGATGGTGTGAGTTTCTCCGGAAATGCGTTTCATGGCTGAAGGAAATATTGAAGGAAGGAGACAGTTGGTAGTACGCGTAAAACATGCAAATGCATCTTTTCGTAAGTTTGGTGAAGCAGGAATGGGTGCGCCGAGTTTTACAAATGCCGATTGGTCGGACTGAAACTAAGTCGCAAAACTGATCCAATGACACACACACCTTTGAGAGCCCATTACTCCACATATCTAATCGTTAAAAACAAAATCAATGGTTATTGGAAGCCAAGAAGCAGTGCTATCCTCCCTCCAAACATAATTAGAATTGATGTATATTCATGAAATTATTAGCCTACGAACACCAAAACTACAAATATTGGACCAGTTTTGCTGATCACTGTAGGTCTACTCATTGACAATGGATGTCTGATAAAATCGTTTGGAGTTCGACCAAAATGAATGGGCTGGAGTATCACGGACTGATTGGGAAAGAGATTCCTGAATCAGGACAATGAAGACGAAATTGCCACAATTCACATTTTAAAACAACATCCAACAGCCATCATTTATGAAAGACAAAAATCTTCATGGATCCCAGAGACTCCAAAGGCAATCATGAAATCATACAAGTACGTGAAAAACAAAAATATTTATAATAAAAAATTCATCAGGGTATTACAGAAAATTACCAGGAATGAATGTTTGCAGACAACTCACCATGGACATGCTTATTGACTGATCTGTTGAAGGGAGAGATCATTCCATTTCATCTCCTGTTCCTTGGTTGACTCAGCAGTGTGTCCATTGTCCTGCTCAAGATCAGGGAGCTCATCTCGTGGAATGGCTACATCTTCTTCAGGTAACTTTTCCAAGATCCACTTCTCATCTATCAGCTCCAAAAGGCGACCATCTCGCTGAACTTGGCTATCCATTCTTCATGTAAGAAAATATACAGGGCAAGCCCATCCCAGTAATAAGGCTCCTTTGAGTACAGTCAACTCTCGTTATACCGCCACTCGATATAGCGCCACCCTCTTCTACTTGACAAATTTCCCCATAGGCCTTTATAATACAGGATATAGTTAATTTGTTATAGCGCCAAAATCGGCGATGACCAACAGTGGCGCTACATCGAGGGTTGACTGTATATACTCAGTCCCATATAAATGTGAAATCAGCACAGGAGGAGGAGTGTAGTGGAAATTGTGAAAGGTGGTGGCATTAGCTGGGACAAAGGAGGAACAACCCAAGGATTTGCAGACTTTTCTACATGCATCTCTGCTTGACTGTCAGGAAAGCCCTTTGAATCCATACCGCTGATATCTACATAAAGGGTGGCCATGGAGTCTGTATTATACATGTACCATGATAGCCCAACGACGCTTCAGGATTTTAAGGCTGCAATATGGCAGAAGTTACATGCCATTCTTGGCACAGGGGACATACTGAACATTTGTTGAGGTGGTGCTCTTCATATGACTATTGCTTTCCCCAACGTTTTTTTTCATCCCATCACATTCCCGATAGTAAGCTGTTCATCTCCCATTAATTTTGTGTCTCTGCCTCTTGTGATTTGCAAGCTACACTGCTCCAAATACTGAGAAGGTCTTTATATGGTCACCTTGTACAACTTTAACTACTCCACCCATGCAAGTCATCATTCATAGTACAACTGAATGCATGAAAATACAATCAATCAAATACTTTTTTGTATCCAGATTTTCTGTTTCTGGGAGATTGACTCCTTAGAGTTCATCAAAGAATTTGTCTCAATTGTAATACCCCTTCAGCAGACCCTTTGGTAGCACATTGAAATAATTTCATAGAATCGTTAATTGACAAACTGACATTTTGCCAGTCACCATCAAATACATCTGTAACATGAGAAGAGTAAAAATGGCATATTGCAACTGGAAGTGCCTTGGACTTGAACATTTTGATCACCACTTGTACCATTCACAATAATGCAAGCTCCTTGGATTGTGCTCTTTGGAAAATCAACATCAAGTTCTTTTTTAACACTTTTTCCATTCAAATTGATTAGGTGGGCATCTGGTGTTTCCCAAGTATGTTCTTAAATACCTTTCCCACACGATCTTTCTCTTCATATTGTAAAGAAGTGAATAGGACTAACAAAACTGATGCCATTGGGAACATGAAATGCAATAATTCTTAACACATGGAAATGCACCTGAAGAAGGTTGCAAGGCAAGATGTTGCAAATGTTACGTTTATGACCAGGAAAAATAATGTCTCCATATTTTCTTGTTTCCTAGAAATTCAAACATGTATTGCTAGGCTTCATCACTATGAAGGAGTGCTAACCCACTTACTCACTTCCAAAGCAGTCAACATGATTATTATAGGATTGCATTCAAGTTTATTTCAGAGATGTAGACATTGTTCTTGATATCAGCATTTCTTTCAGTGATCACACCTGATTATAGGGGTAAGCATGACCAGATAATGCAATAATCAGGAAAGTAGTGCTGGTTACACTGATGGGTTATCCACATTTTATACCAACTGAACTTTATATGTTTGTGGCTGCCAGCAACTTATGACCTGTCAAGTGGGTATAATGGACATATCTGTCACGACCAATGGTCCTGTTTTTTAAATTGTAATTTATCATGTTCTGCACAATATATTTACATATATTATTTTCAAATAAAGGAGTTCATGTTCAGTTATAAAAACTATAGTTCTGCAGCTATTACTGCAGTTCATTAATATTTACACATTGTGGACTATACCTTGCTCAGAAAATTACATGCATGACAGGTTAACAGTGACCAAATGTATTACCTACCTGCTCTTCTCAATGGACATTTTATGGAATATGGAAAAATATACAGTAGTGTGGGGTGAGTTGACTCCACTTTCCATTTTTGACAGTTTCTGGATCAATGTTAACTTTTTTCATTTGATTTTTTTCGCCATAACTGTAATCCGTATCAGTTCAAAACATGGGCAACGTTAAACATGTTAGGCACCTCACACACTCCTCTCATGTGTTGTGAGTCTCAGTGGCTTGATCACAATAATGTCATGCTCATAGTCCAGAGTGTCCTTGTCCCCCCCCCCCCGTTCATTACCATCCTTCTGCTGTTCACTCATTTCTTTTTATTAGCTGAACCTCTACAAGGCCTAATTCCAAAATAAAAAATGAAATCGCACTATTCTAGGTGTTAAATCTGCCAATACCATGCTTCTTGTTGTACTGAATCTGTACAAAGCATCAATAATTCAGAACTAACCTACTTCCATTGCTTAGTGAAGATATGTCAAAGATGATTCAATAAATTCATAGATGTGATATCTCAGTGAGACAGGGAAATTCAACCAAGAAAGAGCCACTTTAGCATCAGGAACAGTTCCTTGCCCCTGAGTGAGGTTGTCTACAAGTGAAGGGGACATGAAAACTGGACAAAAGGTATCTTTAGGAATGATTACACTTATTACCATGCCTGATTTTATGGGGTAAGCAGGGATCAGCCTTGTCATCTCCATGTTCAGCAAGAATGAAGCTCCCAACAGGACTAATTTGAATAGTATATATGTGAGGGCACTCACATTCTCTGTAAAGTACTTCTCAGTAGAAATGGTGAAATTAGTTAGGCCATACAAGGCAGGATTGGCATGATGTAGTACTTCATGCATACTTTGTTGATGATATTGCACTTGCAGGTACTAATAAGAGGAACTCACCTCACAGGGATATCTGATTGGGACAACCATGAAAAAGGTCAGAAACTTTTCACTTGCATCCACAATTGGTCAATGGCACATAATCTCACCATGAATACAGCCAAATTCAAGTAACTAATTTTCCATAACAGAAAACTGACAGGTGCATTACTGACAAAATATTTGATAGTAACCATCAGTGGACCAACAACTGAACCTGTAGGATACACTAAATACCTTGGAACAACCACTGACCAAAGGCTGATTAATGTGCAAAAATTGCACATCAACACAAGTTGTCATGCTTAAAAAAAGCACTCTGAGTGAGCCCACAGGACTGAAAAACTCACCCATGAAAGGGTTAAGGCAGCTTCAGAGACCTTCCATCAATGTTTTCTTTCAGTACAGAAATGCCTTATTCAGAAAGGCTGAAAATTTTTGGAGGGGCAGAAACCAAGGTCATTTCTACAGGGTGTCCATAAAGTGACTACTTATGGGCAACTTTTCATATTGAATCTCGGGGAGCCAACTTTTTTTTTACTTTTGCAAGCTGTTTATCATTAGACCTCAGAATGATGTCACATCTTTTATTTCTACACTCTAATGTGACTGAAAATAAATTCACCAAACCCTTGTTTCAATTACAAGTTCAGACATATGGAGTGTAGCTTTCTGAATCGTCAGCCAGGGCAAATGGCCTCCACGATCTGCAGATTTTGACCCCTTATGATTTTTTTCACTGGAGCTACTTAAAAGGCATTGTTTATAAGGATAAAGTCCAGAGATCTGAACAACTTGAAAGAGAATGTCTCTTGTGCGATGTGCCAGAAAATTGATGGAATTCTCATGGATATTGCTGACAATGCAATTGAGAAGGCTCAGAAATGTCTGTAAATCAGCAGTTGACACATTGAGCCAATTTGCCCAGTAAATTCCTAACTGTTATGATTTTGAATTCCCCAAGTGCTCTATTATTCAATTAATACCATGGAAACTTCAAGAAGTTGTTGCCATAAGGTCGAACAGCAAAATTTTCCTCAAATTGTCTGAATTTCTTCTCCATTCAAATGAATAAAAAAAAAATCATAAAACACCAGATGTGGGAAATTAATTCTTGGTCATGCCAAAGTGGAAGGAGAAAAGATCTTACACTATTTTGAGGTCGATAGGTTGTCAGTCTACAAAATTTAGTAAAACATCGACTTAGGGGTCTATAATAAGAAAGTCACCCATACACTTTATGGATACCCTGTATTTTCACCTCACAGAGACAATACCCTGCCACTACTCAATCTAGTTCCCTCTCAGTGTTGGCTATTGGCATCTGCATAACCTGTAGGTGATGGGCATTCTCTCCCTTGCTTTCAAAGTGCCCAAGGCATATACAGTTCACTTGGACTTGTACAGTGCAGTTGCATCATGTTCTTGTCTAGCACTACTCCATGATGATAAAGCTAAACAATAGTTTGCATATTTGTATTTTTGAGAAACAAGTAAAGGGAAAAGCTTCATGCTGACATAAAAGCATACAGATCTACATCTGGGTGAGTGTGCTAAAGGCCTTGTTCTTTTGAAGAAATGAAGGAAAAAATAAATAAAACATCAAATAGATTATTCAATGCTTGGGGGGGAAATGCATGCATACTGACTACCCACAGGGGTTTTTTGATTGAGGTCTTCAGGAGCAGCAAAGATACTGGCTGTACTGCTGCAATCAACTTTACATAATTTCCAATGGAAATGATGTAGAACTGGAAGATGGAAGACCTCAGGAAACTTTCAATCCTCCAAGAATTTCCTTTTGAGAAGTTCTTGTGTACATGCAGGTGGCATGGGTGGTGCCAGCAGCCCAGCAGACTGGATGAATCACAGTTGCTCACTAAGACAATTGTTTTAAAGGACTCCAGGGAAATTGTTTGAGTTAGATACAAGAAATCCAATTTAATCCAAAAAATAGCAAGATCAGATGGTCACATCAACAGGGATGCAGGAGATTCACAAGGCATAAAAAATTATACAGAGAAACAAAGGACTAATGATGCACAATGATGACATACATACATAGGCTGATCAGGAACAGAACAGAACAGGGAAAGGAACAGAACTTTGGCTGCAGCTCAAATAATGCTCATCAAAATCGTTGGCAGCTCTGCAGGCATCAACTATATTCACTTTGTGACTCATGGTAAAAATTTCAGTTGCCTTTTACTTTTTGTTGTTTTTTATTTATCTCTGTTGGTGATAAAAAGAAATTGCTATAGTTTGTTAAAAAGAAATTGCCATAGTAACTTTCAGTGGATTTCACTGGAATGCCAGTGCTGGAGCAAAGGGCAAACATGAAGCTCAGAAAATGGTTCAGTGAGATTCTCAAACTTTTGCAGCAGATGTATCTACACAGCAGGTGTCTGTGCATACATCTGTTGCAAAAGCTAGAGTCTCAGTGAATGATTTTCAGAGCTTCATGTTTGCCCTCTGCTCCAGCACTGGCATTCCAGTAAAAACTGTCAAAAGTTACTAACTATAGCAATTTCCTTGCATCACCAATAGAGTTCCTTAAAAAAGAGACAATTTTTTACCATGAGTCACAAAGTGGCCAATGATTTCGAGGAGCATTATTTGAATTGCAGCCAAAGTTCCGTTCCTTTTTGATCAGCCTACATACTTGTCATACTGCTAGAGGTCATGATTAACATGTGGGAATCAAAAGACACTGGAACAGAAAATTATCACCACCAGAGACTAGAATGACATGGACTCCTAATAATCACATCACATGATGAAAGTCACCATTGCAGATGAATGCGCAGTGCACAAGGTACATCATGATCAGGGGACACAAACACACACACATGTATGGCAATTGATAAAATTCAGTTACAGATGAACAATATGAAGATGAACACAGTCTTATGCAAGAAAGGTACAACTATTGCATTTGAATGATAAAACAATCAACCAGTTGAACACAACAAACCAATCACTTCAATAATGCATCTAATGCTATGGTAGGTGAAGTGAAATGACATGATACCAATTGTAACATTATGCAATATGAGGCAGAGACTACGCTCATCATGATACCAAAGCTGTTCATACAAAGCACCCCTGAAGGACGGACTAGAATGAGGAATGAGGTCAATGTTCTCAGATGGATTGGAGGTAATTCTTTCACTGGCTCTTCCTCCAGCAAAAACAAATTTATTAAAGCAAAAAAGGTGGCTGCAAGGAAGGGAAGCTCTTTGATCAACACAGCAGGAGATGGAGAGATGATCAGCACTTGCATCCCTTGTCAATCAAGGTCAGAAGGAGGAGGAGAGATGGTCAGTGCTGGTACCCAGTGGTGGCATGCGATCCAATTCAGGACTCAATTCTGCTGGACCAATGCGATTTGCTCGCTTGAAGAAGTTGCGCATTTTGTGTGGGGTCTCCAAGAATTCTATGAAACACAGGCCAAATATCAGAGGAATCCTCCCTGTTGAGGCTTCCATGCATTGTGAAAATAATTATAAAACAGGAAATGTGAAAAATAGCACAAGGGCAAAGCCTACAGTATCAAACTAAATCCAAAACCAATTGTCTTCATTAGTGCAGTGCCTGTAATTGACTCATGGCATTTCAAAAGGGTGCACGTCTTATTGTCAAAAGACAAATGGTCGAATGATATTAAGGTACAATGGGCAATAGGAAGAAAGGATATTTTGGTCTAACTGCCATTTGGTCTTAATACCAGTTTGTCTTTAAATGTTCTAAGGTTTGTCTGTGCAAAATATGGTAAAAGCAGGAGGAAATGTATAGTATTGCCGACGGCATCATGGAGAAAAAGCAGGAATTCAAACAATGTTATTGAACCAACACTGGGAAACGGAACATCTAAAGCTTTGCATTCAGTCCTCTATCCTGCATTTTCCAGAGTGCCTGGATGGCATTGTGTCTAAGATATTACCATTGAGAGCCTCATATTTTCTAAGACACAGAAAGCAGCCCAACTTCTCTGCTACGGTGGGTAGTCATATACAATTGTGAGGAAGAAAGATCAAGTCTGGAGCAGGGTACTTCAAGATGAACCAAGAACAACAAATGGTCTCAAAGGTTGGCATAGGAGGCTTAATTTCCTCATCAAGGAATCGCATATAAGCGTGTTCCTTATTCTTCAGGAATTGCAGAAATAACAAGCCAACACTGAGAGGGAACTAGATTGAGTAGTGGCAGGGTATTGTCTGAAGAAAAGACACCAAATAGAAATTTAAAAAGACATCAGAATCAAGTAACTAGTCTAAGATTATAGTAACTGTGAATTGATGCAGTATCTCCATACCTCCAGTATGTCCAAAATGTGCAATTTTGACAGCTATCAGGAGTAACTTCTCTCACAGATGGACAGAAATAAATGGACTTTTTTTCAATTGCTCCTTCTGATCTATAGCTGATCTGGACTGTGGACCCTCTTGTTGTGAACCAATTATACCATGGACGTTTTGACTATTGGACTATTAATGATTACACCTTTCGTCCGTGGACCCATTTCAAAAGTGATGGAGACTTGAAAGGACCTAACAAGCGCCCCAAAACTTTGCTCCAACAATCAAGGTCTTAATTGAAATAATTAGTCATCAAATTTATTTAAACCAATTCAAACCATAAAGCATCAGAGAAAATGCAATGCATTTAAAATGCTTGCACAAAGCTTAATAGAGAAGTAGATTAACCAACAATACCATGGACTATTTATTTTAATCAAAATGCAAGCAATATTCCCTCCACATGGCCATTACAAAGCAAACCATACTTTTCCCAAATCAGCTTCTATCATGAAGAGCACACTTTTTGGGCTACAAGGTATTGGTGGCACCCTTGAACCCCAAGATCATTATGTGCCAGAATAAAAATTTAAAAAAACCAGGACCCAATATGAGTCTTTTAAATGATAAATATAAACAATCAGCAAGATGATCATTTTAACCACAATAGTTCAATGACTTCATAAAAACTTCTTTTCACATAATGTGATGAATGTGCCTGTGTCAAGTGGCACAGAACCAAACCTAGATCAAAGCTTGAGATTTGAAGTAAACTCATTCAGCTATAGCAGGTGGCCCAAAAAACACGTCCTGTTTGATGCTTTATAAAACCCACTGTGGATGATC